GATACACTTTATATATATATATATATATATATATATATATATATATATATATATATATATATATATATATATATATATATTTTTATATATATATATATATATATATATATATATATATATATATATATATATATATATATTGTCATCATTACGTTGGCCGCCTTTTACTTTCCAGGACTGCACCTGGTACCCACTCAGGGTCCACTTAGGAGCTAAGGCCATTTTTGAAGAACGAACGGTTTTGTCAGCACCCGAACCACAAACATTCCGATCCGCATGCGAACGTCTAGCCGTTACACCACGGAGACTCCCATATATATATATATATATAAAGATCTAGCCCTATATGCCCAATACGCCTGAAGGCGTGGAAAACGGTCAATTACTTATATTTAAATAAGGCTTTTTTTACATAAACTTTAAATATATATATATATATATATATATATATATATATATATATATATATATATATATATATATATATCTAAATGTGTGCGTGTGAGCGCGCTCTACAATTTTGAGGGCAATTACTAAAAGGTCATTATGCACACACAATAAACACAGTGGGAAACAGAGCGAAAGTAAACCTACAAGATTGAAGTATTACCAGATAAACAATAACACCCACACACCCACCAACATACGCTAACCCACACACACACACCCACCCATACACACCCACCCACACATACACACAAACTCACCCAAGTACATTTGAGCAGACAAAAAATAAATGTTGCAGCTAGAAATCCTGCGTTAGCTTTAAAAAAAAATCACAGTGATTCCGCAATATAAAACTTACATAAAAGCGATTAAGGTGTATGATAACTGAAGTCGAAGCGTAGTTAGAATATGCAATGATAAGATACGGTTTCTCAAAAGTTATCGGTATACGGTCCCAATCGAAGGAGTCACCGGAAGAGATCAAATGTCTGTTAATAATTCTCATGCCCTTTTGTTACAGGTCGGCATCTGCAGCTTGAGAGCTGCGAAACCAGTTTCACCTTTGTAGCATATCCGAATTCGAAGTCAACTGAATGCGATTTAACAGTCCATCTTCCATTAATTCTTCCGGTACCAGTCAACTCACCAGACATTTCTTCGTCGCCCTAAAAACAGTATAATGATTTTGTTTCGTGGTGTTGTACTAAGTAGCCATTCTGGTCTAGTCTGTTCGATCCCACTGGTCTAATCTGTTCGATCCCACTGGTCTAATCTGTCCGATAACACTGGCCTAATCTGTCCGATTACACTGGTCTAATCTGTTCGATCCCACTGGTCTAATCTGTCCGATCCCACTGGTCTAATCTGTCCGATAACACTGGTCTAATCTGTCCGATTACACTGGCCTAATCTGTCCGATTACGCTGGCTAATCTGTTTGATCCCACTGGTCTAATCTGTCCGATAACACTGGTCTAATCTGTCCGATTACACTGGTCTCATCTGTTCGATCCCACTGGTCTAATCTGTCCGATAACACTGGTCTAATCAGTCCGATTCCACTGGTCTAATCTGTCCGATTACACTGGCCTAATCTGTCCGATTACGCTGGCTAATCTGTTTGATCACACTGGCTAATCTGTTTGATCACACTGGCCTAATCTATCCGAATAGACAGTTTTAGCTGCTTCTATCTCACAATGTCTAGCTGGTAACTTGTCTATAACTAGTCTTTTAAAGCTTTCAAGTACATTTCCGTAAGAAAAAATAAGTTACAGGTATAACTGCCTGGCAGTGGAAGAGGTAATTTTGACAGCAATATGCGCTTCGTTCCATTTGGAAATAAAGGTAAACTCATGAACGTAAAATTTCAACTTAAACGACACAACGTGCCTCTGAATGCTGGATTGGTTTGTGAAGCCCTTAAAAAATATACAAACCTTTTTTTTTTTTTTTTATATATATATTTAATATGTGCCTTAATTTATATTTCCGGTGTCATTTATAAAATTGCACAAGTGGTAATTAAATTTTTACCATTCTGTAACAGAATTCAAAATTTCTTGTACCTATACATTTGTATGTTTGTATTCCAATTTCTAATGACAGAATTCTAAAAACCCATGATTTTACTCCAGTTTCGTAGGTCTTTATTCACATTTCTTATGACAGAATTCAAAATTCCCGTCTTTTAATTGTTCATTCCTGTGACAACAGATATGACATGCCCTGGAAGAGCTGCAGGAGTTTCTAGGAAAGACAGAATACAAAATCAGGAAATCAGACGAATGCTAGGAATAAAGCCAGTCTTACAGGTCATCAAAGAACAGCAAATAAAGTGGTTTGGACACCTAACAAGAATGCCCTTGTACTATCTGCCACAGTCAGCTACACTTAAACTTTACAACGGGTATAGAGTGAGCGAAAGACTTCCGAAATAATGGAGTGATGGCATTAATAACAGCCTTATAGAAATGAACATCAGTCTTAAAAGCGCTCTTGACAGAGTTCATCAACGAACGTTACACCCCCCCCCCCCCCGACACACACACACACATTTCATTTCACTGGGGTAAAGGTATGAAGAAGAAGAAGAAGAAGAAGAAGAAGAAGAAGAAGAAGAAGAAGAAGAAGAAGAAGAAGAAGAAGAAGAGGAAGACTTCTGTCTTCTCATTTCTTTTTACACAAACCAAACTGTCCATGTCTTTACTCAAAACAAATTTTCTTTTATCCATATTTCCAATGAGATAATTCAAACTGTCCAAGACTTCGATTATTCTTTATGTCTTTATTAATATTACAGTGCTTCAGTTTTAATGTTTATCCCCAAAATACCTGGTGGCTATATAAAGGGTAGCTATACTTAGCAAGGGTTAGGGTTAGCTATGGAGTTAGCATTAGGGTTTAGGGTTATGATTAGGATTTAGGGTTAAGGTTAGCAATAGAGGGAGGAAATTCTTATTTGTTTTCCCCACCCCCATACTCAGTATCATTTATTTTCCCGGACACTAAAACTGTGTCCTAGGATGGGGTACTGAATCGTAAGTAAGTTTCACCATACTAGGTCATCACACAGAGTGATAAACACCCGGCGACACCAAGTGCCACCAAGCGGATGAGCATCACCCGTAGAGAGGTCCTGGAAACCCCGTTCAACAGTTAGGTTATTTTAGGGCCTCCGGCAGCAGCCGGGATGGGGGCTTCAGTGTAACGAAAATTCAGTCCCACGTGGAGACGAAGATTGTCATTTTTTTTTTTTTTAATCGATCACCGGTTGTGAATTCCAGTGGAAGGTCCAGGATAATCGTCCGCTTGGACTTTTGGCTTTCACCTGGACCTGATTTTTGCGTGTACAACCGTTTTTTATTTCCATGCCTCCTGGGCAGCTGTACTCCGACTTTGAAGGAAGACGTCAGGCCTATTTCTAGGGTGACTGTGGTCATTGTTTTGTGTGGGTCGAGACGTTGCCTGACCTGTGTGGTGTCCACTTTGTCTCCTTCGCCGCAGGTATTGCCCCCGGAGTACCCCTTTGGGGCAGCCCCCTGTGGAACAGTTAGCCCTCAAGGGAAGGCAGGGGCAGATCATGGGCATTCCCCGCTATCCAAGGAAGCTTCCATGCATGCAGAGCCGGCACATGGCGCTCTGGTTCTGGGCTCACCCAAGGAATCGTCACGTCCTGCACATGCCTGCTTAACCTCACAACCGTATCAGGCCTCCCGCTTGACAGGGGCTGCGCCTTCTGGAAGTCAGCGGGGAGCAGCCCGTGGGTTTTGGACTTTTGTGACCACACAGATAGGTACATTCTTTTTTTCTTCGCACGTTAGATTTCTTTGACGAGCCGTTAGCCCGACAGAATTTTACATCCTGCATCAGGCATATCGTTATCAGTTTTGTCCCAACACTCGGGCGAGTGGGGTCTTTGGGTGTGGACATTCGGTCTTTTTCTGTTCAATACAAATTTTGATGGTCAGATTTTGATCCGTATGATCTAGTTTTGTCGGACATTTAGGCTTAGCCATCCGATGGATGGTTGCTGTTGTGGTAAACCTCAGCGCGGTGACGGCGACACTGAGTGTTAACCTAGGATGTACATGAACGGCCAGCCTATGGATGGTTGCTGTTGTGGTGTACATCAGCGCGGTGACGACGACACTGAGGGTTAACCGAGGATGTACAAGGATGGCCAGCCTATGGATGGTTGCTGTTGTGGTGTACCTCAGCGCGGTGACGACGACACTGAGGGTTAACAGAGGATGTGCAGTGAACAATGTTCTCTTTACTCCGCAGTCTTTTAACCAAGGGTTGTAATTTTGGCTGTACGTTTGGCAAACTTACTCATGTTCCTAATGAGTTTTGATAACATTTTTCACCCAAGCGTTTGGGGGCGGGCTGATGAGAGCCACAAGGACACATCACCTCTGGGGGCCGCCGAACTCCGAGATCCCCTGACAGCTCTGTTAATGCTCATTTGAGACATTATCCGTGGCGCACGACGAGGACGTGCTGTAGGGGTCTTGCGTGAGGTTCCGTACAACCAGGATAGTAAAGGACTGGCGCCCGAGTGACGTACGGAGTATCTCCTTATACACATCATTTTGGACTTAACTTCCCCTCACGCCTGTGACATAAATCACCGCGCCACGAAGATTGTCATTAAAATGAATGGCACACTCAGGCACCTGGTAAATAAAGTCCGAGTAACAAAATTTAAACATACGCTGTTTATACAAATTTTACAAATCTTATAAAATAGCACTCACCTTATACACAAAAATATAAGAGTTCACAGGGGGCTGTACCCCACACAGAGGTTGCTGCGTCCCGTCTTTAATATTTTTGTATTTTGTTAAGGTTAGGTTTAGGGTTATTAAACCGTACATTATATAAAGAAAACCGGGAAAAAAACCCGCATAAAAATATAATAATATCATGTGTTGTGTTTGGACTATCTCAGAAACTCTCGAATGGTCTTTGTTTGGAGGGATTTTAAATTGAAGTACCAGTGTTTCTCTTGTGTACATTCATACACTCTCACTTCTCTATTTACATTTGCAGCTGAGTCAGATCCTGGGACACAGTGATCAGTTGTATATCAAGCTTCCCTACGGACTGCGGATATGGCAAATTGTCATGGCGATCATGTTCACAATGACCGGTTTGTGGGTGAGTATATTTGGGTGGAGCACCATGTGTAAAGGGAGTCGCCGAGGCGTTGGCGGTTTGACGTCCGCCTTCGGATTGTAAGGCCGTGGGTTCGCGTGCTGACGGAGCCGGACTTTTTATTCTTTAAAAAAATACCTTGACTCTCAGGTCGACCCAACCTTGAGTGGGTACCAGGTGCAGTCCTGGAAAGTAAAGGCGGCAAGTGTGATGCTGACCACATCAACCACCAAGTGCCGTTTGGTCAATAAAATATAGGTCTAGCCCTATATACCCAGTTCGCCTGAAGGAAAGGAAAATGGTCCTTTACTTACCATGTGTAAACCACAACTAAGGATGTTAGAATGGGATCCACGGCAATGTTAAATATATATATATATATATGGGATAACTGGATGCGCTGGAACCTTCAATATTAGGCACATTAAAGGGCCTCCAGAACTTATCTTTGAGCAGCGGGTGTCTTAAAAAACCTAAAGTTTGTTAAAGGCTAAAATCACATCTTCTCCCTCCACCATTCAACTATGTAAAGAAGTATAGTGTTTTAGTGTGTTTTATTTATGCAAACAATATCATTTCATGTATCCCAAAAAATTATTACTATTGATCATTTAAAGAAGGTTAACATCCCTTTAGTATCCCCTAACAAAAAATTAAAACGGGTTTTGGGGGTCTACTTCCTTCACTCTCGCCCTCACAGTTCTAAGTCAGCGTTTCTCCACCTGGGGGTCGCGACGCTTTTGTGTGTGGGTAGAACCACCCTTTCACATGGATCGCCTAAGACCATTGGAAAAAAATATATTCATTGAAGTTATCATGTTATTGATAAAGTAAACAATTATTCTCTTCATTGTGTTAGTTCTCCTGTTATTGATAAAGTAAACAGTTATTATCTTCATTGTGTTCGTTCTCCTGTTATTGATGAAGTAAATAATTGTTATCTTCATTGTGTTAGTTATCCTGTTATTGATAAAGTCAACAATTATTCTCTTTATTGTGTTATTATCCTGTTAATGATAAAGTCAACAATTATTCTCTTTATTGTGTTAGTTATCCTGTTATTGATAAAGTCAACAATTGTTCTCTTCATTGTGTTAGTTATCCAGTTATTGATAAATTAAACAGTTGTTCTCCTCATTGTGTTAGTTTTCATGTTATTGATAAATTAAACAATTATTCTCTCCATTGTGTTAGTTATCGTGTTATCGATAAAGTATACGATTATTCTAATGATTGTTTTAGTCAACATGTCATTAATCAAGTAAACAATTATTCTCTTTTTTATGTTAGTTATCCTGTTATTGATAAAGTAAACAATTGTTCTCTTCATTGTGTTAGTTATCCAGTTATTGATAAATTAAACAGTTGTTCTCCTCATTGTGTTAGTTATCCTGTTATTGATAAAGTAAACAATTATTCTATTGATTGTTTTAGTTATCATGTCATTAATCAAGTAAACAATTGTTCTCTTCAGTGTGTTAGTTATCCTGTTATCGATAATGTTAACAATTGTTCCCGTCTTTATGTGAGTTATCCTGTTATTGATAAAGTAAACAATTATTCTCTTCATTGGGTTAGTTATCCTGTTATTGATAAAGTTAACAATTACTCTATTGATTGTTTTAGTTATCCTGTCATTGATAAACAATTATTATACTGATTGTGTTAGTTATTCTGTTATTGATAAAGTAAACAATTGTTCTCTTCTTTGTGTTAATTATCCTGTTATTGATAAAGTAAACAATTGTTCTCTTCTTTGTGTTAATTATCCTGTTATTGATAAAGTAAACAATTATTCTCTCCATTGTGTTAGTTATCCTATTATTGATAATGTAAATATATTATCAATTGATTGGCTAGTTAGTCTTTCCTCTTGGGCCTAAGACAATGATTATTGCTCTCCACGTTTGGTGGTTTATTGCCACCTGTTTTAGGTCTTGGATTTCTGTTAGGCAGACTCAACCCCAACATTTGATTGAAAGGGGGCAGGGGGGCTGTTGTGGTTTTCCTGGGTATATTTTACATTCGGAAGTTTGCCATTGCTTACTGAACAGTCAGCTCCCGGTAACACTGTCGAAACTAAGGCATGACAAATCGTCCGCAGCTGGGATCGAAACTGGGACTTCGGCATAACGGAATGCATTTCCAACGCCTAAGCCACAGACAATTTATCTTTTCAAAATGCAATAATTAGAACAGTTCATTAGCGCTGTTAAACTGATATCTTTCTGTTCCAACAGGCATTAGTTCTGCCGTCTCAAATATTCCAGACACTTGATACAACCGAAGATCACATTACTTCTTTGCCAGTCAGACTCTATGGTGGTGCTGTACTTAGTAAGTGTACCTCGTCCGTGTTTGTTTTGTTAACAATATTCCAGTCAGGTGCAATTCATTGTGACTATAGGTTTTCCTTTCCCTGTTTAATTTAGTTTAGTTTATACAACAGAACAACATCATAGCACAACGGTCATAACCAATAAGTGTTTCATTTTACTTCTAACTCAAGTCTGAGTCCGAGGGACCTAAGCGCAGTGCACGTACTCCGTAGCACCAGCGGGGATCCAAAAATACTATGGGTAGATCTTTAACTCCAAATATTGCCCGGGCAGTCGTTAGCTAAACTTTTCGATTTTCAACTACTAAGGGCTTGTTGAAGTGCGCATCAATACACACGGGCTTCCGATCTTACTGCCCAAAGACCAAGGGAAATTACTAGAAGTCCACGTGAGAAAAATCCCAGCCCTTAAAACCCGGGACCTGAACCCGGGATCTCCAGCACTCGAGGCGGACGCCATGCCTCGAGACCACTCAGCTCCTCTTGCTTTCATATATTATGTCGAGAGTCGTGTGTACTATGCAACAAATTATGCCGAGAGTCGTGTGTACTATGCAACAAATTATGCCGAGAGTCGTGTTTACTATGCAACAACATAAAACATGAGCAGGAAGTAACCGCAGACTCAATTACATTTTCACATTAGCGGTAAATTAATGAGACATGTATGTGGTAATCATGAACTCTATGAAGATGTTTCAGAAAATCGCCAACAGGTATCTCCCCTCCGAATAGGTAGGTATGAAGCTTTCGGGTGTTGCACAGTCAATCTCGATTCACACATCTGGATAACCTGAAATGAAAAATAATGAAGATGGGATTGCGGACAGTATTTTTTGAGTTATGTCCGTTGCTGTCATACTGTTGAGTGCATTGAGTCTTTCTCAACAGTTTGTCGCAGCTGCATGCCAATAAACGTCCTGTCTTTTTTAGGTCGACATTTTTTTTTTTTTGAAGCCCTACTCTGGCTTTTGCCAGGGGCCGCAATATAGCCTGGCCATAAATATGGCCTAAAGGCTGAACGGCGGTTTCTGTGACCTCTTCACGGTAATCCTCACCCACGTGGTGGCATATTGTGTCATCGGATGTTTATCGCTTGTGTGATGTCCTGGTGGGGGAGAGAGTCAGTCAGTCAGTCGCAGCTGCACCTTCATATTTCTCGAAGGACATGCTTCTATTGAAAGTGATACCTAGGTAGCTCAGCTTGCTTTCTCCTTTGCTGTTTCAATCACCGACTGATAGAAACCGTGGCATGCAGGACTCCTGTCTCGATAAACGTACACATCAAAATATTATATCTAACATATTGATGGCGTCTTCAAGATCAAGTGCTGAATTGCCATCTACTGACTATTCCTAAATCCCTTATAAACATCGTAAGCAAAAGTGTAGCATTTGACTGGGTATCTTACCCTGGCCGGTAACCTAATGAAGACTAACTTGTGTTCATCACTTGGGACGGAGAAGCAATAACATAATGAAACCTAATTTGCAAATATCAAATGGATACTGCAGAGTGGAAATATGGAGCACAACTCGAACAGTTACAAATAAACTAAGAACAGTGTATGCTCCCTACTAAGACTGGGTAAAATAAGTGGCATAACACAACTGCTATGACCTTGACTCCCAGGTCGCCCTAGCCTTAAAGGTGTACCAGTACAGTCCTGGAAGTAAAGGCGGCCGGAGTGGTGCTGACCATATCACCCACCACGTGCCGATTGGTCTATAAAAATGGGTCTAGTCCTATATTCTCAATGCTTCTAAATGCGTGAAAAAAGGTCATTTAACATAACTGCTAAAACACTTTTAAGCACGTTTGAAAAAGAGGCTACATGGTCTGGAGGCATAGTGTCAGCCTCGAGTGCTAGAGGTTCCGGGTTCAATCTCCGGTTAGGGCTGGTATTTTTTTTACGTTGACTTGGACTTCTAATAATTCCCACTGGTCTCTGGGTAGTGAGATTGGACGTCCGCGTGCATTGTTGCGCACGCTAAAAATCCCTTGGCAGTTAGAAATCGAAAAGAATAGCCGAATGGCGCTTGCTCAGGCAAAATGTGGAATTAAAAATCTAGCCAAAGTATTTCAGAATCCTTGCCGGTGCTACAGGGCCTGTGCACTGTGCTGAGCTACTTCGGACTCAGGCTTGTTAGAAGAAGAACGGAGCGCTTATGGGTTACTACCAGTGTGCCATGTTGATCCGTTGTTCAAGAACCTCACAAACACGTTTAAATTTCAAACAACATTTAATCAGCATCCTTAAGCGATGGAAAGACGTTGACACTGTTTGGGATACACTTTGAGAAAACCTGTTCATAGTATAACTAAAATAGTGACCATGCAACTGAGCCCACGAAACAAAGAAATTAAGTCAGATCAAAAACAGAGAATAGATTTGAAGACTGAGATGGGGAGAATTTTTAGAACATTGGGTAAGAGATTTTGCTCTATGGCAAAGGATACATCAATGGGGTAAGAGACTTTGCTCTATGGCAAATGATAAATCAATGGGGTAAGAGACTTTGCTCTATGGCAAAGGACAAATCAATAGGGTAAGAGACTTTGCTCTGTGGCAAAGGATAATTTAATGGTGTGAGAGACTTTGCTTTATGACAAAGCATAAATCAATGGGGTAAGAGACTTTGCTCTATGGCAAAGGATAAATCAATGGGGTAAGAGACTTTGCTCTATGGCAAAGGATAATTCAATGGTGTAAGAGACTTTGCTCTATGACAAAGGATACATCAATGGGGTAAGAGACTTTGCTCTATGGCAAAGGATAAATCAATGGGGTAAGAGACTTTGCTCTATGGCAAAGGATAAATCAATGGGGTAAGAGACTTTTCTCTATGGCAAAGGGTAAATCAATAGGGTAAGAGACTTTGTTCTATGGCAAAGGATAAATCAATGGGGTAAGAGACTTTTCTCTATGGCAAAGGATAAATCAATGGGGTAAGAGGCTTTGCTCTATGGCAAAGGATAAATCAATGGGGTAAGAGACTTTGCTCTATGGCAAAGGATAAATCAGTGGGGTAAGAGACTTTGCTCTATGGCAAAGGATAAATCAATGGGGTAAGGGACTTTGCTCTATGGCAAAGGATAAATCAATGCGGTAAGAGACTTTGCTCTATGGCAAAGGATAAATCAATGGGGTAAGAGACTGCTCTATGGCAAAGGATAAATCAGTGGGGTAAGAGACTTTTCTCTATGGCAAAGGATAAATCAATGGGGTAAGAGACTTTGCTCTTTGGCAAAGGATAAATCAATGGGGTAAGAGACTTTGCTCTATGGCAAAGGATAAATCAATGGGGTAAGAGACTTTTCTCTATGGCAAAGGATAAATCAATGGGGTAAGAGACTTTGCTCTTTGGCAAAGGATAAATCAATGGGGTAAGAGACTTTGCTCTATGGCAAAGGATAAATCAGTGGGGTAAAAGACTTTTCTCTATGGCAAAGGATAAATCAATGGGGTAAGAGACTTTGCTCTTTGGCAAAGGATAAATCAATGGGGTAAGAGACTTTGCTCTATGGCAAAGGATAAATCAGTGGGGTAAGAGACTTTTCTCTATGGCAAAGGATAAATCAATGGGGTGAGAGACTTTGCTCTTTGGCAAAGGATAAATCAATGGGGTAAGAGACTTTGCTCTATGGCCAAGGATAAATCAATGAGGTAAGAGACTTTTCTCTATGGCAAAGGATAAATCAATGGGGTAAGAGACTTTGCTCTTTGGCAAAAGATAAATCAATTGGGTAAGAGACTTTGCTCTATGGCAAAGGAAAAATCATTGGGGTAAGAGACTTTGCTCTATGGCAAAGGATAAATCAGTGGGGTAAGAGACTTTGCTCTATGGCAAAGGATAAATCAAACTTCCTGCAAGTGTCCTGAGGAACTATGCTGCACTGGGAGGTTGAGGATAAAAAAAGACAGCAATGCTTCACTAGTTATTTTATATTTATTTATCTGTTTGATGTATGTATTTATTTATTGCTCTATAAATAATAGCACACTATGATCTGTACTTCCTTTTGATATCCAGAACTGCCATTTCTTTTCAAGGTCTGTCTGTTGTATATTGGATGACGTTAAACTCACAAGACCGTGATATCATACGCATGTGTCTGCTCAGCTCAATAGTGTATTTTGGCATTCAGTTCACAGGCAAGTTTTTAATTACTTATTTATGTATTCAAGCAATGTCCTATTGTGCCATTATATGTTACATAGGGCTGGCAGTCCGGTTCACCATTCCGAGCGGAATAAAGTTAAATTGCTAGAACTCATTAACTTTGTACTCTCTCATACAAGGCAGCAGATTACTTTGTTACCGTATAGTGCCCTAAAATTGGTTAAACGGTTGAATGGAATTTCATGATTTTTTTTTAATCTATGGATTTACAGCCAAGCAGTGACTTCTCCTTGAATATGGTGTCATCTTTAAAGCTTTATTCTCGAAAGCGACGAATAAAAAATAAAAACATATCTACAAGGACATGTTAAATAGTTTTTTTTTTTGCCTAATACAGTACCGGTCGCACGAATTTAGATAGGATGCCACTGAGATAGTTCAGATATGTATTTTGAATACCAGAGAAGGAAATAAAAAGATAGTTAGGCCGCATGGCAGTTTAAGTTGTTCAGCTTTTTTAACCTATCACTTAACAACGTGTCCACTATTCCTAAATGCTAGGAAACGCTCGCATATTTAAATATGCAGATAATATGCAAATTACATTTATTAAAGATAAGCAGCTTGCAGCTCAAAACTGTTTTTTTTTTTTGTGTGTGTGGCAAAGTAACTTGATGCCTCCAATAATGTAGTGTACTGGGTGAAATAGCATGCTGCTCTATTTTTCTATAGCCACTAATTTATTACAACCATATAATTTGAAACCCGAATTTTTTGAATGGAGAACACTTGTGGCCCTAATGTAAAACGACCTAATTTTCTAACCCTATCAATTTTTTTAAATAACACGGAACCCCCAATTATCATTGATACATAACTTGTAATCCTTATTTCTTTTTTTAATACAAAATTGAAACTCCCATTTACGAAAGCCAAATAACATCCAACCCTAATTTATTAGATCTAAATAGCGTGCAGTCTCCGCTTTTTTTTTTTTTTTAGCCAAGGTTCTTGCGACAAGCTGTTATTGTAGCCAAACTAGCTATCCCTGTATTATCGCTTGCAATGAGATCTCACAGTCTTTCAACATACAAGTAGGACGAAAAGACGGATAGGGCTGTGGATCAGAATTTGTAAATAAAATATACAGTCGTGACATTTCTAGCAATCACTGAGACGAAAATCAGAGTTTCTAGTTTGGCTGCTAAAGACATGTTCTTAGAATATCTTTAACAGCGAAGAAAATAAATACTGACAGTTTAAAAGATGTGAAACATAGAGAACATCTGAATCGTAAAAACGGGACAAATCAGACGCATTGGGTAAAAAAGTGCATGAGACAAGAATGCTGGTTAGGGAATGTTTTACTGACTGACTGACTTTCTACCCAACCAGGACATCACACAAGCGATAAACACCCGATGATACAATGTGCCACCATGTGGGTGAGGATCACCGCGGAGAGGTCACAGAAACCACGTTCAGCCACTAGGCCAAATTTATGGCCTGGCTATATTGCGGGCCCCGGCAAGAGCCAGAGTAGGGCTTCAAATAACGAAAAATTTCATCCTAAAAAGGACGGGAAATATATATATATATATAATAGGGAACGTTTCCTCTCAGACTGGCTTTTTATAGAGGCCACATACTGTCAGCAGTGTTCTTCAACCAATAGGCCGCGGAAAATTCTCGATGGGCCGCCAAAAAATGTCTACCTAATCATGTAACAGTTGGCGTCTGTGGCGTAGGCGTTGCGAACGCGCTTTGTAATGCCGGGTTCGATCCTAGCTGCGGACAATTTGTCTTGCGTTGGTATTGACAGTGGCACCGAGAGCTGAACGTTGGTAAACTACTTCACCTAAAATGTAAATAGAAAAAATACAACAGCCAAAACAAAAGTATGCTAGAGTTGGTACTGCAACGTCTTGTAAAGGATACGCATCTAACTAATCATGTAACAGGGTAGTTTATGTACATTTTCTCTTCCACGACTGATATCTTTTAGGATGCAACACCTTCATGGAGAGAATCAAAAGGATTCAAATCCCGAAAACCCCGCTCAACCCCGCGAGTGTAAAATTGTTGAAAAGCACTGCTGTGAAGGCCCTGCAACATGTTATTACTCGTAAACATCTCTTTCCTTTTTTTTTCCCCTCGCTAGTACATCTTTTACATTTCCAATCCAGCAGGACGGCTAGTTTCACTTCTTGTGTTGGCTTGCGGTGTAGAGGTTCATTGCATCCTTGTGCATGATGGCTTTCGTTATTTTGGCATTTGGTGCTGCTGCTCGCTATGCAAACCTGTTTTCCTTTTGCCACAGATCTTGCCAAAACATGCATACGTTGATTCAACTTGATGACGGACGAAGCATCATAAACATGGGAGTTTACAACAAATACAATAGCTTAAACATAGGGAGTCTGCCTCATACTCGAAAGGTACCAGGCAGGGTTGGTTTTAGACTGCATGAGACCCTTAGCTATGTAAAGCTCGGAGGCAATTAAATTGCATCACTTAAATATGTGGATAATGGAAACACATTATATTTTTTAATAACATAGAATGTGTTTGCAAAATCACACCAGTTATACAATTCTCTAAAGGGCTGTAAGTTAAACTGAAATTACTTTCCCCTTGATTCCCCGTCTTTGATTATTTTATGAAAACATAAAGCTTTTAAATTGAATTGAAAACAAATGCATTAAAAAAAAAAAAAATAACAAGACCATTGAATTTCTGGAAAAGAATATGAATTTTTTTAGGTCCCTGTAGATTATCAGACCTCATGCAGTAGCTAATACCTAAATCAAGTCTATATTGGGCTACTCTTAAAACGAAAGAAAACAAAAACAGCAGGATGCTGTGCTTGCTTGCTTGCTTGTTGTACCCCACCAGGACATCACACAAGCGATAAACACCCGGTGACACAAGACGCCACCATGCGGATGAGGATCATCCGTGGAGAGGTCCCAGAAACCACTTTCAGCTAATATGGCCACATGTGTGGCCCAGCTATATTCAGGGCCCCTGACAAAAGCCAGGGTGGGGCTTCAAAAAACGAAGAATTGCATCCCACAGTTGGGATGCATGTCAAAATTACCACATGTCTTAACGCGAAGATTTTGTGCTATGTTAATTGATTAACAGCTGGAATAGGTTAGGAATATGAAGAAAACAGCATTTAAAACTAATTTTAGAAATGTGAAAAGCTACCAGAAAATAAAATAGAGGCTGAGATGGCGGAGGGACCGAAGGACCAAACAGATGACCTAGTTAAATTATAACCATGAAGGGCACAATATCAGCGTACATGTTTTGTTTTTGGAGAAAAATTACATTTTAACATTGCGTTGCAAATGAAAAGTGTGTAGCTAGAGAAAAAATAAATTACACTGTTCACCTCACTGAAGTAACAACAATTCTCATGTGTGAATTTGACATTAAAACGTGATACACACCAGTCTCCATTGTTGTTTATTATAGAGCCTAGATATTCAAAGTTTGAGAAATTGAAAATGTAACAAACTTCGAATATCTAGACTCTATAATAAACAAAAATGGAGACTTTTCGACAGAAATTAAAAGGAGGATGGCCATAGCAATGCAAAGATTGAACAACCTTAAAAGTCTATGGTTAAACACCAGCAAGGAGATAATAATTTGAATTTTGAAAGCATGCATCTTCCCTGTGGCTACAAACGGATGTGAGTCGTGGACTATCTCATTCCTTAAGAAAGAGAATAGGGGCTTTTGGGCTGAAATGCTATAGAAAGATTCTCAAAATATCTTGCACAAAGAAGATGAGAAATATTGACATCTTAAAAGATCTGAACATCAAGGAAGATTAGCTAATAAACGGCATCCTTTCTCGAAAGCTGAAATATTTTGGTCATATCAAACGCCACAATGGATTGAAAAAAAAATTATAGCAGAAGGCAAGGTACCAGGAAGAAGGGGCATGGGCCGACCGACACGAAGATGGGCACAGGATATAAGTGACTCCTTGAGTGTGAAAGTGCATGAGGATGGAGAACTAGCAAGAGACCGAGTTTCTTTCATGCAGACTGTGATGAGAGCGACGTTCTGCAAAGGACCTGCTACATGATGATGATACAACAGCCTGAAAATGCACTTAGATGACAATCGCCACCGTTAAGTTTTTTTTTTTAGAAATGTGGAAAACTACCAGAAAATTGAGGTTGAGACGGCGGAGAGACCGACGGTCCAAACAGATGACCTAGTTAAATTATAACAATGAAAAGCAAGAAAGAATGCACTTAGCTGAAATCGCCACAGGTACATGCCGTCACTGTAACCGACTCACAGAGCATGTTGAGAAAGGTGGAGGCAAGCATGCTCCGTGCAGAGTGGCAACCATCACTTCAAAGGTCCCGAATAGTAAGCATCCTTTGGATATTTTTTTCCAGGATATGCCGGTGTGTTGGGAAATGAGCAGGCAGATAGACTGGCCGGTTCTGCACCGCTTGGTGGTGAAGTGATGTATGTTGTGAGGATCCTTTGGGAGCGAGTGAACAGTGCCGAGGCACAGATAGATCATTACGGTCTGAGGAGAATGGAACTGCGAAGAATTACAATGATATCTAACCGACGCTCAAGACTCAGGGGAAAGGCAAGACAGTTACTGGTACCATCGGAATTTTAACTCTTCGCTTACTGTTAAAAATGGAGACGGAGCACTTATGGGGGTGTCCCGAGTGCTGTGATGTCGATTCTTAATTCAACATTCGCCACAGCTGCACTGTGGGGTAATGCATACGACAACATAATGTGTTTTATGATGTTATGTTTGTTTAAATAAAATACGTTGTAACTACTCCTTACTTCTCTGGTAAAGTAGATTTCTTGGACCTGCTAACTATGGTTGTTAGCTTACAATGAGAAGTCAACTTTCATGCCGTTTTAGGCGCACCGAGTAGTGACCACGGTGTCGAGCGCAGCCGTTGTGAAACTTTCTACTGCACTCATACATTTGCAGAACTGGCGAGCATGCATCACCAGAGTGGACCTTTATTCGCCTATTAATTTATACAGGTTTCACCCCTTCATTAAATAAATAGTAGAGTCCTGCTCCTCTTTAGTGCATACCAAAAGTTAGGCAGCTGTCTTTAAACTGTCATTATGACGTCA